GAATATATACAAAAGATGATAGAAATACATATAGAAATACAATACCGATAGAAGTTACATCATTTAAAGATTGTTTTAGTTAGTGTGATGATATTCAATCAATTGAAATACCAACATGCGTTTATAAATTAGGAATTACATTTTTCGTTGTTGTATGTAATTAACATCATCTACTATTCAAAAATAATAGTAACATATGAAATGGATGTTTTATGAATATTGATGTGAAAATAAAGTTATGGAGAATGAAACAATATCAGAAGAATCTTTTCGATATTATGAAGAGGCTTAATATACAAAAATACAAGAAATAAACTACAATGTTGTTCAAATTAAAGATAATTTAATTAAATCTAGTTTATATTTTCATCTTTATTTTAGTATTATTTTATTTTGAAGGTTAGAAAAAAACATCATATTTCATTTAATATTAATTATTTGTCATTTATTAATTTAATTGAAATAATACTGTTAATATTCAATTAAATTGATACTAATTATAATATTATATAAAAAATGTAGTATTTTATTGAAATAAGCAAATGATAACAAAATTTATGATATTAGTATTTAATATACATTAAGTTTTATTTATTTAGTTTTATCAAACATGTAAAACAAACATGATTTATAATGATAATGTCTATTTCCACTTATTTCTCTTTCTTGTTTTTCGTTTGGTTATGATGAATAATTCATAAATAATAAAAATATATTTATCCATACTTCATAAATATTTTATTAATGAAGAACTAGAATTAAACATGTTATTTTCTAAATTAATTGTCCTTCATTGAATTAATACGTTTATTAATTTAGTTTTTCATCGATTAATATTATTTTTATTTATATTATTTAACTTTTTGACTTAATTTCACTTTAAAATAATATGAAAAGTATTTTAAAACATATAATTATATGTATTAGTTGTTATTCATTTATACCAATAAAAAAGTGTCAATTAGAATTATCTAGAATAAAATAAAAGTAATGCCAATAGAAAGAATAATAAAAGTGCAAGATATGCCATTAAGATTGGTTGTTTCATTTACATTATCATCTGGTTTATTCATTTTATCACTTCCTGTTCCATTGGTTGTTTCATTTTTATTTGATAATTCTGGTGATTTTTTATCTGTTGAATTATCAGAAGTTTTATTTGATTCTGCTGGTGTTGCATCCGGTGATGATGGTGATCCATTTTGTGATTTGTCTGATGGTGTTGGTACTGGTGGTACTGATGGTGTTGTGTCTTGAGGTGATGTTTGTGGTTTGTTTTGTGATGTAGTTGTGTCTGATGATGGTGATGTTTCTGCTTGATTTGGTACTGTATTTGTTTGTCCTGACGTCCCTGAAGATGGGGTTGTTTGTGAATTTGGCACTGATTCTCCTGATGGAGACTTTTCTTTTCCTGGTGTTGTATTTGGAGCAGAGTCTGTTGTTGATTCAGATGACCCTGTAGGTTTGTGTACTTCATCTTTTGATTGTGGTTGTGGTGCTGAATTTGACTCTGTATTTTTTGGTTGTGTTGGTTCATTTGTTTTCTGTGTTGATGCTGTATCTGTTGATTGTGATGAACCTGATTGATTTGGTACAGTGTTTTGTGTTTGTGGTACACTTGGTTGTTGTGCACCTGTTGGTAATGGTTGGGTTGATTCTCCTGTTGAACCTGGTTGTGACGTTTGTGTTTGTGATGAGCTTGCCCCGTCACGTGTTTGTTCTTTTGATTTTTCTGGTTCTGGTGGTGTGTCTTTCACTGGTGATGCTTGTGCTGATTCTCCTCCAGTATGTGTTGAATCTGCTTGCGGTGATGGTCCTTTTGTTGTTTCTACTCCTTTTTGTGAGTGGGATGATTCTGTTGATGTTGATACGGTTGCTGGTGCTCCTGGTGTTATAGTGTTTGTTTCTCCTCCTGATGGTGTTATAACTTTTCCTGGTGCTGATGGTGATTCTTCAACTTTTGGTATTGGTAGTTTTGCATCTTCTAGTGTTGATACAGTTTCACTTTTTAAATATTTATTTGTTTGGGTTGCAATAGTAAGTACAACAAATACTATAAATATAAACATTGATTGAATAATTATTAAGTTGCTTCCTTAAATATATATCTATCCCATAATCACATATTTATTTTTATTCTATTCATTACCATTTATTTCTTTTATGTCTTTTTGTTGTTTATCATCAATATTACCAATTTGTTGATGAAATGATAAAATATTCAAAACTTTTCTATATAATAAACATCTGCTTCAATTATGAATATTTATAAATCATACAAAAAAAGATTTTGAGTAGAACCATTATTCAAAAATCTTTTTCTAATCATTTTTATTCTATATGATTCATATTAAATAAAATGATTTATTTTTTATGATTTTATCTTGCTCTTATACAAAAATAGTAAATATCGTCTCTTCTATTTAATTGAATAGTTGATGAGAATCAAGAAATACCATTAATTAAATATATTTAGGAACCAATACCATATTAAGTTTTTAATAACTAAAAAATCTCATTTTTGTAAAAATTACAAAAATATTCAAATTTATTTTATCGTCATTTTATTTTTGTACCATTTTTTATTTTGTAATAAATAAAACATACAATTGAATTTAATTCATTACTCAATTCATTTTTATCTGATTATGAATTAAATAATAATTAATTTGTGTTATTTGAGAATATTTCCTATTTGTTGTTTTGTTTCATTGTTTAATAATTCTCTTTTTGTGTTATTTATCTTGATATATCTTATTCTATATTTTCTTCCTTTCTTCTTTTTCTATTTATTCTTCATGAATTATTGACATTTCTATTTTTATATTACTTCAAGAGATATTTTCCATTACAGAAAGTGCAACAAATTTTAATGCCATGGCTATTGTGTAAACTTTTTGGGTATTGTAAAGAAAATAAGTCATAGAAATTCAATGTCATACAATAA